CGTACTCGAGCGTTGCGATCGCGAATATTACTGTACAAGCAAAGAAACTGATAGTTCACTTGCTCTTATGTTTTAAAAGTTAATAAAGTTAATTACCTAAAGCTGCAATATACTTATTTACATGTTATACTTATTTACATGTTATATAGTTATTACAGTACAAGCAAAGAAACTGATAGTTCATTTTTGCGCAATGCTTAGGGGGTTCCAAACACTATAAAAACAATTAAGCATGCCAGTGAATACTATAATTTCATCCATAAAAAAAATTTTGTTTAAAAAGCAAAAAGAATAGCAACCTTTGGTTGTCACACTGGTTGGAATAAATTTTTACTGGAAGAACTTTTTTTTTTCTTGAAAATGCTATTACATTTATACAGAATTTTTTAAATATTATTTTATATACCATGCATCTCCAAAGCCAATATTGTAAGATCAATATGGCACTTTGTTTTAGAGGCTGAAAGCAAAAAGCTTTGATGGCAGAAAGTAGAAATGTGACAATAAAGAATTCGTTATTTTTAAAAGTCCATATACTGCATATGTATGGCAATAATTTAATGTATTTTCCCACCTACTATTTTTGCTAAAATCGCTCCAAAATCATTTTGGTATCTTTCAAATTTATTTTAATATAGTAATTGATTTTAAAAATAAAAAAAATATTACTTATTGCATACAAAAAAATTTGATATTTAAATTTGAACCATTTCCAAATAGGCAAGTACCATTTTAACGGTACGTAAGTAGTATGAAGTTAAAATTTACCCTTTGCGAAATTTAGGTATATGTTATACTTGTATAGGCATTTTACGGACTGTAGTTTATTGTGAATGCAAGATAATTTTAATTCAATTGTCTTCTGTTTCAGGTATGNATTGTCTTCTGTTTCAGGTATGATGCCCCTGTGGTTATTTACTCTGGGTCGCAGTCTTTTTGCTGAAACAACCACCGAAGTGCCTTTCAAGAACATAATTCTCACCTTAATTTCCATGATAGTTACACTTGGAATCGGATTAGCTTTTCAAAGATGGCTGCCCCGTGTGGCTAAATTCTGCCGCCGCATCTTGGCTCCCGTGTCGATTTTCATGATCATTTTCATCATCATTTTTGGCACCTACGCCAACCTCTACATGTTCAAACTTTTCACCTGGAGAATCGTAGTAGCAGCCTCCGCTAATGTGTGGATTGGATTCCTCATCGGTGCCTTGCTGTCCAAGTCGTTCGATCTTTCCTTGGAAGATATAATTGCCATCGCTGTTGAGACTGGTGTTCAGAACACCGGGATAGCCATCGTTTTGCTTGGCTTTTCCCTCGGTCAACCGGAAGGAGATCTGGCTGCTGTTGTACCAGTTGCTGCGTCTATCATGACACCATTCCCACTGCTGTTGGCCTATTGCGTTTTGAGAGTGTATAGAAAGTATTTTCCAAGCAAAAGCAAGCCAGAATCTCGTCTCTATGTAATGGATGACGAGGAAGAGAAGAGAACCTTACCAACGCCCAGCAGTTGTGATTCTATAATGGAGGTACAAAAACTTTTCCATAAAAAGTTAAACACTGCGTCAGGGGTTTTTAACAATTTTTAAGCGTGACCCATAATTAATTACCTGTTTCAAATATAAATTGATTTTTAAAAAGACATAAATATTTGCGATCTCGTACCACAAATTTATTGGATTTATAATTGGTGGAAAAATTACAATATCAGCGAAGCCAATTTCTACTTATTTTGTTAAGTTATTTGTATTAAGTTACTTCGAACTTAACAACGGAAAGGTTCAGAAAACTGTGGTAAAAAATTGAATCATTCAGTTTTTTAACTGAACTTTTTTTTCATTCAAATTTCCGAATGATCTTTACTAACGTTTTCGCTATTTGAATACTTTTATCCGAATTGAATATTTTTTTTACCATACTTTTACGTTTTTTTTCATACTTTTATGTACCTCGAGTCTTAATAATTATAATTTTATTTTTTTGAGAGAAATATAAACTGTAAAATTAAGCCTTTTTTGTATTTTAAGACCACTATCGAAACTACTGAGTTATTAGAGAAATTCAGCATTTTCACGCAGCATCCCGCATGTTTTTGCGCAAACTCTGTACAGAACAATTGCTGTTCTGTACTAGCTGATCTTGTGGAAATGCTTAATCTCTCTATTATGATGATAAACTACGTAACACACAGTGGCAGTAAAGTATCTATTCTGGAAAATCAGAAGTGTATGAATAATAGATCATTAAAAAAAAATCAGTAGTTTCCGAAGCTTCTCGGCGACCTAAATTTGGGTCGCGATTCATAAGTTAAGAACCCCTGTCCTACTTTATATTTGTAGAACTTCCAGATATATTCACATATTTCTAGATTTCTGTAGAATATGCATTATGTTGTGATTTAGTTTTATTTTCTAGTAAGTATACATTTGTAGATCATTGTTAAATAGCATTATTTAGAGAACTTTATATTTGCTATGTAATTTTATTTTAGTTGTGTTAAGAGTCTCTTTTATGTTTGTAAACCTGTACTTAAAGTACTTTTAAAAAAGCTTGCGTTTGGAAATCATGCACAAACTCACTATATATTTATACCTCATACTTTATTTAAAAACTAAAAGTGTCGAGGCACATATGTATTATATATGTAACTGTATTCGAAAAATTAGAGTTTAGAGGTGAAAAGTTTATCTTGTGATATTATTGGCTTGAGCTTAATAATTGCAATTCATTTGCTATGTTATATGAATTTGCTAACGATTTTAGATACAATTGGAGTTCTTTAAACTCAGCACTTCTTTAGTGACGTTTAAAATAGTAACCAGGGGTCTGTCCAGACATTTT